GCCAACAGCACGGCCCAGGGCGATGACGGGCCGGTGGCGGTGCTCCCTTAGAGGAGCACTCTTTTTAAAAAAGTTGTCAGTAACCTTAGCGTCCGAGGAATGCGCAAGACAATTCTGGCACCGCGACTCAACGGAAAACGACGCGGCCATCAAAAGTGACCCTTTGGAAGGTGATGTCGCAACGTGAAAACGTGTATACAAAATAGGGAAAAACGAACGAAGGAAAACGCCACGTGTGCACGTGCTCGTCCACGACGACGTAAGCCCCGGGCTACAGGGGTGGCGGAGAAACCCAGGGAAACGGAGCGCAGGCCCGGACAAAAAGGGCTGCTCGTCGCGTTTTCCTTGATAAATAGTTACGTCAGTAATGAATAAATTTGTGCTTTTTTAAAAAAGTGTGCTCAACAAGGAATGTCTGAGACGCTGTCGTGGACGAGAGGAAGCTAGGAAGACATGGCGCCTAAATGCCACGTGGGGGTCCAGATGGGAGCCCAGTGCAGAAAAAGGACAGTAGGGAAAAACGAGAGAAATCCTCTTTAAAAACTCCAGTGACCTCCACTAAAAAAAAAAAAGTGTAATTAATAGTAACGTACCAATATTGTTCATTAATTATGACCAAGGACACTGGCTGAGGAGTATATAGGACACTGGATTATCTTTGTAACTTGTCTGTAATCCTGAAACTATTCTGAAATTTTAAAAAGAATCATCTCTTAAAAACGTGGTGATGGAGCCTCGCTTATCGATCCCTGTGCGTATCTTCAACTCCTTCTCCTCATGGATAGAGCTGGACCGTGAGGCCGGCGGACCCGGTTTTGAATCCTGGATCTGGCCCTCACCATGGACATGGCCTGGCCGGTCGCGTCCCCTCTCTAGACCTCAACGTTCCCATCTGAACGGTGGGGATATGAACAATACCCGCCTTAGGGAGCGGTCAAGAGGGAACACGGGGTCACGGAGGTGAGGGCTCCTGGCAGACGGCACGAGCTCAGGCACTGCCACGGGCCGGGACTCACCTGGAGGGGTCGATCACTTTGTAGACGACTCCGCGTGCTGCGGTGGCACTCGGCATGCCCGTCGACATGAAGTACAGCTCCCCTTGGAGAAGAAGCGAGGCGAGGAGTGAGAATACTGCCTGGGCACCGGCCCGGCCAGCCCACGCCCCCCGCCTCAGGCCCCGAGACGGACCCTAACCTCGGGTGCGCCACGAGGGGAGGCGTCTGGGCTGCTGTGGCAATCCAGTGCCAGGAGCTTCTGCAGCACAGGCTCTTTGGCCGTGGCCTCTCCGCCTGGACCCACCCGGACTCAGACATCTGCCTCCCTCCTGGTGACCTAGCCCCACCCCTGGTCCCTGCCTGGGTTTCGCATCCATGGATGCAATGAAGATCCACAGCCCAGCTTCCCCGCTAACTGCTTCCTGGGTGATGCGGGCACATGCGGATCCCTGAGCCTCAGCGTCCTCATCCCAAAACGAGATGCTTCGTAGCACTGTTACGAGGCTTCGAAGAGCACACAGGAAGTGTTCCGTCAGGGTTAGCTATTACTGCTGTCATCACTGTCACCCAGGATCTGGGTCCTGCTAAGTCCTTGAGGCCAGGGTCCTTCTCCCCTGGCCAGCAGGCAGAATACAAGCTCGGGGACTCTCTCGTGTGAAGGCCAGCTCCCTCACTCAGCACCACTGAGTGAGCACCAGCAGCTCTGGGACAGGCCCACTTCGAGCCTCAGTTTCCCCACCTCTCAGGACTAGTGGAAATGCAGTGAGTGAGTTATGAGCGCCTGGTGCCACGTGTGCTCTCAGGGAACGTGAGTTCTCTGCTCTGCCCTCACTCCATTCTGCCCCCTGGCCCTCGCTGACAGAGGCACCTACGTCCAGGAAATAGGCTTCATTATTCCCACCTTACAGATGAGAAAACAGAGGCTCAGAGAGGTCAAGTGACTTGTCCAAAGTCACACAGCTGGTGAGTGGTTAAGCCAGGCCTGGAACTCAGGAATGTCTTTACCCCCAGGCCCACACCGATGGCTGGGAGGCCCAGACACAGGCCACATGTGACTCAGTGTGATGGTTCAGCCATGCGAATACCTTCCTTCCTTGTAGGAGGACAGTGGAGAGCTCGAGGGTAGGGGTGGGGATGGTCTTCCCCAGGAGAGGCCCAGACAGACAGCAAGGTGGGAGCTCTGCTTGTGGCGGGGATAGGGAGACTAGGCCCACATGGTGATGATGCAACCCGTGGGAGGAAGCGGGGTACCCAGGCTGGTTCCTTCTGGGGAGTCCATAGGTGCAGCTGTGAATTTGCTGTGCAGCCTTGGGCCGTCGCATCCCTCTCTGGGCCACTTTCTGGAGGCACTGACCCCTCCCTGGCTGGGCAGCCCTCCCACCCACACTCCAGCCCCCGGGAGCAACTTGGGGCTCCCCGCATACTCTGCTCCCTTGGCCTGGAATGCGTGTCGCCACTGTCTCCCTTTGGCTGACCAAAGCGCAGGGCCCTGCTCTGGGAGGCCTCCAGGGGCCAGGCTGGGTACCGTACCCCCAGTCATGAATAGTCAACCTCAGTTTCCCCATCTGTAAAGTGACAGGGCTGGACTAACTACTCCCCAAGGCCCCTTCCAGCCTTGATCTGCTGGGAGCCATGGCCCCCAATCCTACACACAAGCAGGGAGCCCATCAGCACTGCCGAGACCTGCTCAGAGCCACGCTGCCCTCTTGGTCCCTGTGGTATGGACTGTCCCTGGAGGACGCCGGGCCAGCCGAGGTACTTGTTTCGCAATTTGCAAATATCACGAGAACAACTAGAGGGGCAGGGGCTGGAGCCTGAAGCTGGGGGAGGTGTGTTTGCCGTGGACTCCAGAGCTCTGTGCCTCCCAGGGGCCACCTTGCCCAAGCTGGCCGCCAGGCTGTCCCCGGGCTGTCTGTCTCAGAGGGGCCCCGGCCTGGCTGTCCATCACTCAGTGACACTCAGAGGGCTGAGGAAGGGGCCCTGGGAAATGGATCTTCCAGGCCCAGCCTCTGTGGGGGTACGGGGTGTGGGTGGGGAAGGTGGAGAGAGAGCACCCCTTCTTCCAAAACACCGTAACCTCCCATCGACCAACAAAAAGGACTTTAAAGGACCCAGTGAGCGGGGAGAGGACAGTGGGGGCCGCCGCTGCCCTTTTGAAAATTTAGATTCTGATGGGTGTCAGTTTAACAAAAGTTTCCCAGACTCAGGCCTGGGGGCTCTGGGGCCCAGGCCCTGCGGGGGATACCCCTCCAAAGGCCCGCAGGTGGGCGTTGCCCAGCAACCAGGCCAAGCATCCACTAGGCCCCACTGGGAGCCCCTAAGCTTTTGTCCAGGGACAATCCAGGGCCAAGGACAAAGGCGAGCGGCTGGAGTGGGATCCAGCCCCCATAGCCCCTCGTCCTCTACCCTCTGCCACCGCTCCCTGCACTGAAAACACAAGCGCCTGAATGCGGGACCCACAAGCAGACAAGAGGCGGTGTCCGCCCACTCTCTGAAGGCGATGTGGCTTTAATTTCCAGGCCCAACACATTCGCCGTCGGGAGCCCAGGGCGGTGGCGGTCTCGGAGGCCTTCTTCGCCTACTGCCCGCATTTCCGCCATGACAGAGCCTTTCCTGGTCGGCCAACTGCCTTGGACTCCTCCCCAAGTCATCGTGCTGCCCGCAGCAAGCCTGACCAAGGCAGGGACGGGGGAAGGGGAGGAGGCGACCACTGCTCCCGTCTTCCAAACGAGGAAACTGAAGCTCAGACTGGTGAGGACGACACCTAGGCAAGGTCTCGAGCCCACTGAGCACCTCGCTCCCCAGCCTGAAGTCAATTTCAGGCCTGAGACCCCATCCCTCAAACCCCGGGCCAGTGAGATGCACAGGGTAGGGAGGGGCAGGCACGGGCAGCCCAGATGGAGAGGCCTTAGCAGTGCTCACCAGCCTCGTCTTCGCCGAATGAGATGATGTATGGATGGTAGTTATTGATGAGGCCTGGGAACTCGCAGGTCTGGCCCTGGCCCATGCAGATCTCGTTGTACCGCCACTGGCCTGTCCCCGAGTTCTCTCGGAGGGACATCAGACGCCTGCAAATGGAGAGAAGCTGCGGGGTCATGCCTGGCTCCCCGCAAACCAATGCACCCACTCACTCATCTATGATCCATGCAACGGGGACCATACATAACTACAAGGTCCAGTGCAAAATGAGCATGCAGGGCCCCTCGTTCAAAAAGTACTAAGAATTTCAACAGTGACGGCAAAGCATTAAGCTAAGTGGGGCCCTTCTGAGCGTGTGGTCCTGTGCAAGTGTGCAGGCTGCATATCCATGAAGCTGGGCCTGCGGTCTTTACCGAGTACCTGCAAGCATCAGAGAAGCATGCGGACAGGGCGCAGGAGACCAAGACTATTTTGGCCTCTCAGATCAGTGCCACACACGACCAGCAGGAGGCAGTCAAGAGCTGAGCTGGGTTTCAGATCCCTCCAAGGCTGGTGCCCAGGGGTGTACGCCCACACTCTGGAGCTGCCTGCACTTCAGAGCACAGGGTGGAGCCTGGGCATCTTCAGAATATGCTGATCTGGCCCCTAACTCCCTTCCCCATCTGACCCGCAGACAGGCTTGGGATTTTGACACCCCTAGGGGAGGCCTGAGGGGGGATAGGAGACCTGGGGTAAAAACAAAGGCTTCATCTAGAGCCATTTTCCAGATGGGGTAGCTGAGTCCCAGAGGCAGACCCCGCGGAAGGGGCTGAGCTGGGGAGAAGGACCCAGCATCCAGATGCCCAGGTCAGAGTTCTCTCAGCTGCAGCTACAGACCTACTGGCCACACATCCGCTCAGGTCAGCAGCCTGCAAGAGGTGAGAGCTCTCCTGCCGGCCTCGGGCTCTTTCGATTCCTTATTTCCCCTCCTGAGGAACAGCTGCCTGCACGTGGAGAGTCTGGCTGGGGATAATCAAGCCACCGGATACAGCGTGTACTAGATTCTAAGTGCTGCGTGTAGCAACGGTCTCGGTCCTTAAACAGCCCTAGGAGGCAGCTACTATCATCATCTCCATTCTGCAGATGAGGAAACTGCAGCAGAGGGAGGTGAACTCATGGGCTCAAGGTCACACGGCTAACGAGCGGGCCAGGAACTGGACCCGGGCGATCTCGGCTGCACTTTTAAGCATCGTGTGTGGCGTGGATCTTCCCTGTGCTTCTCTGGTCCTCGGTTTTCTCCCCTGCACAGTGGGAAACGAGGTGCTCAGGAGGCCCTCCCTACAAGTTCCCCTGGGGAAGGAGGCTGGCCCGCAGCAGGTTTGGGGGGCATGCTCTTTCCCCCTCGAAAATCTGTTTAGGGTGGGACTCGCCCCCACCCACACCTTCCAGGGTCAGCGGGTGGACGCGGCACTGCCATAGTGTGGGGCAGCAAGGCCCACGGTCACACCCGGGCTGGACCGCCAGCTCCCCTCTCCCTAGTAGGGTGGCCCCTCTGGCCTCTCCTGGACCAAGGCCCTGGTTAGCTGGTACAGCGACAGGTCCTGGCAACCTTGGGGCGACCCTGAGCCTGCCTAGGAAGTTGTTCGTGCACCCCTCACCTTGCTCCTTTTTCCTCTCAGGCTCCTGGAACTGTCAGGCCACTTACCCGCTCATGAAATCTCCGAAAATGTAGAGGCCGTTCAGGTTGGGGTACTCGCAGCCCCGGTACACATAGCCCCCGGTGACCGACTTGCCCAGTTTGTGTGGGTAGGCGAATATTGGCAGCACATCATCTGTGGGGTGGGAGAAGCAGTGGTTGAGTCTGGGGGGGAACTAGCGCCCCCCAACAAAGCTCGGTGGATGGTCCTGAGTCTTGCTGGGCAAGGGGATGTGACGTCGCTAGGAGGGCCTGAGATGAGGCCACAGATGGTCACCCAGGGAGGGAGGTGCTTACAGACTGTAAGGTGGGGAGGAGAGCGTGGGTTGGGGGCGGGAGAAGAGCGAGAAGCATCCCAGGTAAATTGGAGAGGGGGGAGGAGGCGAGGGGACATGCCGGCTCGGGGTTTCAGGGTCCCGAAGGGAGGCACTGGAGCACGTCGGGTGGGGTAAAGGGCGGATCTGGGACGCGGGTCCCCAGGGTAGGTCCCTTTGAGCCTCCTGCAGCCGCACAGGGAGGCGCTGGAGCACGGCCATGGGGTGGGGCGCGGCCCTGGGGAGGAGGGTCCGGGAACGGGCAGAGGGGCGGGGGTGGCGGTCACCGAGGGAGGCGTTGGCACACAGCCTGCGGTCGTAGCACTCGAAGCC